ATTGAGGGATATAGCAAAGTGGCGGCTCCTGCTGTCGATTTGTTAAAGAAGGACAAACGGTGGAATTGGGTCGACGAGTGCCAACGAGCATTCGACAAGCCGAAGAGAGGCTGTTACGTCGGCCCCGGTGTTGAGGCTGCTTGGACTTTGAGAGGCCTTTCGAAGTGCATATCGATGCTTCGGATAGGGCCATTGGGGGACTGCTGGTACGGGAGGGTCATCCGGTTGCATTTGAAAGTCGGAAGCTTAATGAGGCGAACAGAAATATTCGACACATGAAAAGAAAATGACGGCGGTAGTCCATTGCTTGGGTGTGTTGCGAGTATATCCGTTAGGGTCGAGATTCATAGTGAAGACGAGATAATGTGGCCAACACTTTCTTTAAGACGCGAAGAAGCTATCTCGGAGGCAAGCTCGGTGGCAAGAGTTTCTAGGCGAGTATAACTTTGTGTGGGAGCACAAGCCGGGACGACATAATCAAGTTGCCGATGCACTAAGCGGGCGTGAGGTGCTTGCTATCCTTTTTCTCTTGTACGAGTGGAGTCGGACATGATCGAACGACTTCACCAAGTCGCTAAGGAGGATGAATCATACAAGAAGTTGGCCGGTCTTGTACGAGAAGGGATAGTGCGGAGATATTGGCTGGACAATGATCTCCTATATGCGAAAGGGGGTCGAATCTTTGTGCCAAAGGGAAGCTCGCGAAAATTCTTGATGTCGGAGACACATGATCCGCGAGTGGGCGGGACATCCAGGAAGGGAGAGGATGCTGGCCTTGTTGTCCCGGACTTATTATTGGCCAAAGATGGATGAGGATGTGGAGTTATTTGTGAAGACTTGTCTAGTGTGCCGGCAAGACAAGACTTCACGACGGCGTGAGGCGGGGTTGCTTCGGCCGTTGCCGATTCCGGAGAAACCTTGGGTGTCGGTTTCGATGGATTTTATCGTGGGTTTTCCAAAGGTAGACAACATGAATGCGGTAATGGTGGTCGTGGACGGATTCACTAAATATGCGATATTTGTTGCCGCTCCCTCGGTTGCACGGCGGATGTGGCTCGTTGGGATGTTCTACCAAAATGTGGTGAAGTACTTTGAGGTGCCATCGGACATCGTCGGCGATCGTGATGCACGTTTCATCGGTCGATTCTGGACAACCTTGTTTAATATGATGGGGACGCGAGTTGAAGTTCTCCATCGCCAATTATCCACAAGCTGATGGGCGGACGGAGAGGATTAATGCTTTATTGGAGGAGTACTGCGGCATTATGTGACAACGAAGACAACGAAATTGGCTAAAGTTGCTTGGATAGTGCTCGGTTTGCTACAACCTCCACAAGTCATCCGCGACAGAGGCAAGTCCGTTTGAGTTGGTGCTAGGGATGCGACCCCAAACTCCCCTAGAGATCTCGGTACGAAATGCGGTGGGAAAAGTCCGGTAGCATACCAATTTGCGTTGGAGAGGCGAGGAGTTGTTGGCTCGAGCCCAAGATAGCTTGCGGAAGGCCGGCAAGCGAGTGAAGAAGTATGCTTGACTTGAAAAGGAGACCACTTAGAGTTTGATATGGGTGACAAGGTGTTGCTCAAATTGACACCTCAAATTTGGAAGAAAATCAACGACGGATTGGTGCGGCGGGGGCTTATTCCAAAATATGAAGGACCTTTCGAAATCGAGAGAAAAGGTGGGAGCTGTGTCTTATAGGCTGGTTTTGCTCGAACACTTAATGCTCCACCCTACATTTCATGTGAGCTAATTGAAGCCTTACCACGAAGACCGGGAGGACTCGGAAAGAAACAAGTCAAAAAGAGCTCCCCTAGTGGTTCGAAAGCGGTTTGATGATGGGATTGTCAAGATTCGGATTATCGTCGACTTGGTCAACACAAGAAGAACCGACGAACGAGTTCTTAGTAAAATGGGCTAAGAATGGGGAGGTTTCATGGGAGAAGGACACTAACTTGTGGCAATTTGAAGAGAAGGTGCGGGAGTACCTCACTTCGATTCCGACGAGGGCGTCGGACCTTTACGGTGGGGGTGGTTTGTCACGGTCCTACACGCGGGGTTGCGCCAAGGATAGGCGCAGGCGCAAGTGTTGCGCGCGCCAAGGATAGGCGCGGGGTTGCGCCGAGGATAGGCGTAGGCGCGGGGTTGCGCGCGCCGAGGCTGCGAACAACGGGTTCATGTTCGGCACAACTCCGGACTTGGATAGAGGGTCGTCCAAGTTACGTGGGAGCACGACAGGCGAGAGAGAGGGCTCGGTCGGATGCCTAAAGGGTACGTGGGGTGGCGAGGCCAAAGGAAGTTCCGAAGGAGCGAGTTATCAAAGAGGCGGTTATTGGCGGTTACTTCATCTAGCCAATCTGTCCGCATTTATAGGGAGCGGTTAGATAACGGTTCCTATGTAACTTCCAATGATCCTTTGTTATAAAAAGGAGAGGGGGATGTGCTTTGCACACGAGAGAGAGACATATAGACAGAGATAGAGAGAGACACCGAAATAAAAGTGTATTCCTTTGTTACCGGGTTAATAAAAGGTTGGGAGTTTTTCCGTAATATTGTGTGTAATCTCCGATTCACTCTTTGTCTATTGTAGCGTGTTGCCTATCATTTGCGGGACTTCGGGGAAAGCCTCTTGGGTGTGTGAAACACAATAGTCGATAGGGCAAACACGAGAGCAAATTGGGAGGAAAAAGGCTAAAGTCTAGGGGAACTAGGTTGCCGCACCGGGTTCAAATTGTGACGCAAATTTGACCTCGTGACACATATCATCCGTAAAAAATAAATGGTTCATATTAATAGTCGATCGAATCGTACGATATGTTAGAATCCGATCCCTAGCCCCTTGATTAATCAAATTTCTACTCAACACATCCCGAGCTAGAATAAACAAGGCCGGTGATAAAGGATCTCCCTGTCTAACACCTCTCCCCGAACGAAAAAAACCAAAGGATTTGCCATTTAGAAGTATAGAGTATCTACAATTATTAAGACATTTGAGAATAATTGAGCACCATTTTTTGAAAACCCAAACTTCTGCATAGTCTTAATCAAAAAAGACCACTTTAGTCTATCATAAGCTTTTGCTATATCTACCTTGAAAATCACATCACCTCCCATTGTCTTCCTATCAATTTCCTAAAAACGTTCATATGCTAGAGTAACATTTTCATGAATTAACCTCCCTTATACAAAGCCAGATTATTCATCCGAAATGATACTAGGTAGTACCCTACATAACCTTTGCGATAAAATTTTAGAAATGACTTTATATGAGACATTACATAAGCTGATTGGTCTCAAATCAATGTAGTCTATCGGATTTTGACATTTGGGAATTAACAACATCGTTGTTACCGTTAAAGAGATCGGAATGTCCCCCCATTGAATATGTCCTATACGGCTTTGACAAGCTGAGGGGCAATAATATCCTAACAAGATTGATAAAATACAGCGGTGAAACCATCTGGCCCCGGGACACTAGAGGGATTTAAATCAAACACAGTTTGTTTGATCTCTGCTTCCAAAGGCACTGCTACAAGCATGGCATTCTGATGAGCAGTCACTAATGAGGGAACCACATCCAAAAGCTCATCTGGACTGTCCACAGGATTACTACAGCTATTGGAAGTAATTTACTGCGCCATTACCCATTATTAGATCATCAGAGCACGTTGTACCATTAATTTTGAGAGCAATTTTCCCTCGTTGCTGATGACTGCAAATACTAGCATGAAAGAAAGAGTGATTCCTATCTCCCACTTGGAAGCAGTTTACTCTAGCCTTTTCTCCGAGAAAAATTTCTTCCTGTAGAACCATAACGTTGTACCATTAATTTTGAGAGCAATTTTCCCCCGTTGCTGATGACTGCAAATACTAGCATGAAAGAAAGAGTGATTCCTATCTCCCACTTGTAACCAGTTTACTCTAGCCTTTTCTCGGAGAAAAATTTCTTCTTGTAGAACCATAACGGATAATTTTGCTTTAGCCTCCACTAGTTCTTGCATGGCTTCATCCGATGAGTGCAGAATTACTTCTCTCTTGTGAATGTTGCCATAGACCTCCCAATTCCATTTGCAAAGAATTCTTCTCAGAACTTTTAAATTTAACTGAAAGTTCGTGAAAGAATTCTGTGTATCATGATGACCCCAATGTTGTTTGACCATGTCCAAGAAACCTTCATGATGCGTCCACATCTGCTTGAAAGTAAATCTGGACATAGTTTGCTTCCTTTCCTCAAAAGACAACATTAAAGGACTATGGTCTGAAAAAAATCTAGGTAAGTGTGAGCATTTCAAACTTGGCATAGTTGTCTGGAAAGCAACATTCACCATACATCTATCCAGACGCTCCCATATTCTAGTAACTCCTGCATGATTGTTACTCCATGTAAACATGTTACCAGAGAAACCAACGTCCAATAAACCAGCCCGAAGAATAAATTAATTAAATTCCTCCATAGCATCTGAATTAGGAGGCCGTCCTCCTGCTTTCTCAAGAGGAGAAGTGATGATATTAAAGTCCCCACCCACCATCCAAGGGGAGAAAGATTTTATATTGAGTAAATAGGCCCATAAATCCCATTGAGAAGCTCTGTAACAATCTACGTATAAGCAAGAGAATAGAAAATTTCCCTGGCTGCCATTATCAATTATTTCTATTATAATTGCCTGGCTACAAGAACCGTGGAGAGCAATCTCATTAGATTTTGATAATACCCATATATGCGTATTAGTTGGATTATTATTCAAACAGAAATTAAACTTCAAGAGTTTAGCTAATTCAGCAATTTTCTCTCCTTGCAACTTTGGTTCAATTATTACCAGGGTATTCACTTTATGTAATCTTACTATTCCTTTAAGATAATTTATTTTCTCAAGGCAATTGATGCCTCTAGAATTCCATATCATACAGCTCATTACGAAGTGAAGATGGATGTGTTACCATTTTGATCCTTTGTGGATCTAAAACTACGCCTTAGGGAAGTGCCAGCAAATGTTACTTTTTTTTATTTCTTCTGGTGGAACTTTGGGATCTCAAAATTATCATCTTGCATCTCTCCTGCTTGAGCAGGAAAACTGAATTCTGAATCCATGCACCCCATTGTCTGTTCCTGTGTTGTACTCTGTACCACATCTGCCACCGAGATTATCCCCATACCTTCTTTGGCTGGAGGCAATAAAACATCTCTACACATAAGTGGGCCTGGATCAGAGCTTGAACTCTTTAAGATAGTAGCTGTGTTACTTCCCCCATACAAGTAACGCAGCTTTGCTTTCCCTGTATCTCCATTCTCAGATGCTGTATCAAATACTGCTACTTTCTATTCATGAGCGCCCTATTCTTTTCTAAAAAACCCTTCTGAATCTCCGTCCACAGATTCTCCATCATTGGACGAAGAAGATTGGGTAACTAAAACCATAAGGGGAGATTGGATATGTTGTAAAGTCACACCTGGTTCTAGCATTTTTTTTGGTTGGATCAATTCACCATGTTGCCTTTCATGAGAGTCTATAGCTGTTCCAGTAGCATCTATGAGCAATGCACCAAACCCATTAGATGCCGAAATAGGAGTTTGCACTACAAGTGTAGAGTGAAAAGATATTGTTGCTGGCAGAGGCATATTGTGATCCTCAGCACCCGAACTTTATCCCTTTTCTTTCCACAAACGCATGGTCCTTACCTCTGACCTTGCTGCGGGTAACTTGAGTGTAGTCTTGGTTGTTGGTTTTTAAGTCTGTTGACTCACGGAGGAGCTTGGGAATTGGTAGGAGAGTTTCTTTTTCTGCACTGTGATTGAATGTGACCTCGAAGATGACAGAAGCTGTAATATGATAAGTTAACTTCATACATGATCTTTTACTAGAAACCCTTGGTTCTATCCGTGCCCACTGAAATCCAGACCTCATCAAGAAGTTGGGAAGCCAAATCTACTTCAACACAAACCCGTGCATGGATAGAGTGAGACACATTTGCTGTTCTCTCATTCGTTTTTAGAAAAACACCAAAGGAGTTCACTATCTCCCTCAGAATCCCTTTAGGAAAGAAAGATATTGGAAGGTACGGGAGACGAATCCAGACAGCTGCATAGGAGGATTCCTTGTTGGGCTAGAAACCTGGTTCCCAATTGAATAACCGAAAAGGGAAGGATTGAATGTCGTCATGCTCAACTGACTAGGCCTTCGCAAAGTCTTCTTCCGAGAATGTACGAATAATGGCATGTCTAGGCCCTAATAAACCTACTATAGGATCTGTCTCTAAACCTCAGTGTTGAATAACGTGATCTGTGATCACGTTTATGGGTGGTTTGATACCTGCGAATTTTGCGAATTTTGTTACCAAAGTGTTCACAAAAAAGATTTTCAGCTTGTTGGATTTCTGTGGAAGAGAAATTCACTGCTGGCTTTTCTTCCATTGATGTCGCTGCCGAGGAGCAATGTCCACACTTCTCAAAACTCAATTGTACTTTGGTTTCTTTGATTTGGCAGAGGATACAACAGTTGCTAAAGAAACTTGAGGAGGGGTACTGGTTGTTTGGTTTTTTTTTCGGTTTAACAGGAGGGAAGTCTATGGGTAATGTAGAAACAGGGGGTGGGGAGGGGGCTGATCCCCCATCGGAAGGCCTACAGCCGCCCAGCGGCTATAAAGCGGAAAAAAAATTGTAGGGTATCGCAAATATTCGGAGCAAAATACGAATTGTTATTTTAATAACAGCAATAATTAAAGCAAAAGGCCATAGGATGAGTACTTGATTATTCCATTTCGATTTTATTTTTAATAAATTTGGTTTGATTTTTATTTAATATAATCTATAAATTATTACTAAAATTTATTTAACAATAAAAAATAAATAAAGGATTGAACTAATCAGATAGTTTTATGGTTTCTTAACATTAAATTATAGATAAATATCTAGACACACACTTATATATATATATATATATATTATGGAGATCAAATTTTAAAAAAATTGAAAATAAAAAGCCAAAAAAAGATCAATTTAATTTTAAAAAAGCAATTTGAAAAAAAATTAACAAAAACAAAATCAAAATCTTCAATTTAGTTTAATTTTTTAGTTTAAATTGAATAGTACTTGCTGCAAAGAATTATAAAGAAAACTAAAAGAATTGAGAAATTTCAACATTAATCACTGTAGTTGCAGACTCATCTACAATGCGGACGAAATCCTGCTTTCTTTGAACTTTTATGGGCACTAATATGAAATTATACTATATTTTAAATTTTGGTTCTTGATTTTTTGAATTTTTTATTTCGATCTATATATTTATTTACTAATACATTTTGGTCTTTAATGTAGAGAGGAGGGAGGGAGGAAGAGAGAGCACCAGCTAAGTATATATATATATATATATATATATATAATTATATTACTTTTATAATTTAAAATTTATTTCTTCAATTATTTGTTTCTTATTAAAATTCTCATCAAATTTTTTTTTTTAATTTTTTTAATATAATTTTATTTGTTAATAAATGTGATTTTTTTATATATGGATTTTGGAATAAAACTTTAGACATGAGTGTTTTATTTTTTAAAATATATTATAATAATTTATACGATAAATTATTTTTATGATTTTTGAATAAGAGTAGTATAGTGGCATATATAGATTTTGAAATATATATATATATATAGAGAGAGAGAGAGAGATAAGTGTGTTTTAGATAATTTGACTCAATTTTTTTAAAAAAATAATAATCAATTATATATATATATATATAAAAAAAATTTATTGGAATCAATTTTGTAGTAGCTTTATTTTAATATATTCACTTCGATATATATTCCATATAATTTAGATAGTTTTCTTTTTTATATTTTTTTATTTATTCTACATACTGCGAATATGTTGTGTGTGTGTGTGTAAACAATTAGTTTGTTAGAAATTAATTATAGATATTCACTCATAACACCAATTATTTATTATTTATTTTTTTATATTCTAAAATCTGTATTTTTGAATAAAATAATTTAAATAATTTTTTGAAAGAACCTTCCAATTATTCAAATATAAATATTTATGCTAATATTATTAATTATTTTGTTGATAAATAAATAAATAAATAAATATCAAATAATTTCATTATATATATATATATTCAATTTACGTTAATCACCGAAGCAAGGCTATTATTCACATCACACTATACGAATCGTTAATGCTATATATGTAACGGTTGTCTAACTACAATATAGTGCGAATATCTAATTAATTTTCTTTTTTATAAGTAGACAAATAATCTGACATGGAGAGATTGTCACCCTTCAATAGACATATCTATGTGAAAAACGTAAAGCATGAATGTATAAAGTGAGGTTTAACTCACATATGTGTTGTGTTATTTAAAATACGATGCGTATGCTAGTTAAATAGTTTAATAGCAAATTTGAGGTCAAATCTGAATATTGTTCGTTACATGTGATGAAGATTGTGTAATTTAAATCATATTTGATAAATCTTTTATACTTTAGCTCCAAATTATGTAATTTTATATTATAAATTCAAAATTGATAAACCACAATAAAATAGGAGACAAAATTTATTAGGATGGTGTTTAATTAGTTAGGAATTAGTTAGATACATGTGTTATGTTACGGTCCGACAACCATTATATACGTAAAGTCAACAATTCGTATGGTATAATACGAATAAAAATCTAATTTTTTGTAATTGTTATAAATCAAATTTATTTATTGATCAAAATCGTTTGATTTGTATATATCTATTAACAAAATAATCAATAATATCGGCATAAAAAGATGTATTTGAATAATTGAAAGGTTCTTTCAAAACATTATTTCAATTATTATATTTAAAAAAATATTGATTCTAAAACATAAAAAAGAATAAATAACAAATAATTTTTGTTAAGTGTGCGGATACATAATTAATTTTTAGCAAAACTAATTATATATATTTCAATTATTTTACTTAAAAATAATTTTAAAACATAAAAAATAAAAAATAACAAATAATTAGTATCATGTATTTAAATAATTAATTAATTTTCAACAAAACTTACACACACACATTATAAAATTGGTTTTCATAAATTTTACTTCTTAATTTATGATGAAAGCGATTCTTGAATAGCAAATTAAATTATAAATTAATTCATCTCATTTTGAAAAAATGAATTAATTAATTCTTTTGGCTTCAAAAAAAATTATTTAATTTTTTTAATCAGTGTTGACCATGAATAATTTATTTTTTTATTTAAAAATTTTTTCTCATATTTTTATTTATTTATTTATTCATTACGTATTTCTCAAAACAAAAATAAAACCACTCGAAATAGCAAATAGGATAAAAAAAAATTAGTTTTTGCACGAAAGTGACCAATGATGTTATGCATTCAAATACATAATTAATTTCTGAAACATATATATATATATATATATATATATATATATATAGAGAGAGAGAGAGAGAGAGAGAGAGAGAGAGAGAGAGAGAGAGAGAGAGAGAGATATTTTGATCATATTTAGTAGATTCAGAGTATATAGTATAAATATGTTTTTTTAAAAAAAATCATATAAATTGTAAGGAATATATTAAAGCTAATAAATTAAAATAAAAACTACTATAAAATTGATTTCTATAAATTTTACTTCTTAATTTATGATGAAAAAAATTCTTGAATTGCAAATTAAATTATAAATTAATTTTTCTCATTTTGAAAAAAGAATGAATTAATTATTTTGAATTGAAAAATAGATTTTTTAAATTAGTGTTGACCTCAAATAATTTATTTTTTATTTTAAAAAATCCCTTTTTTCATATTTTTACTTATTGTTTTCATTCTTTATTTCTTAAAACAAAAAATAAAAATATTAAACTTGCAAAAAGGACAAAAAAAAAAAAAAAAAAGCTTTTGAACCACATGAACTAATTAATTTGTTTCTCGAAGAAACATGGACTAATTTATAATCAATAGCAAGTGAATTTGGCTTCCCTGTTGAACATGAGAAGAGAAAAATTGAAAGAAGACAAGAGCATTAAATGCTCAATTTGAAAAAAAGAAGAAAATGATGAAAAAGGCCCAAAAATAAAATTAAAAAGAGAATTAGTCAACAATAAAAATGAAGTTTCTCAAACCCATTGAGTGTCAAAAGAGAAATTAACGAAAAGGTAGGAACAAAAAATCAAGCAACGCAATGAATAGTGAATCTAAATCTAAAACAATAGTAGATGAATAGTAAATATATGAGTTCTTTTAGTTTTTTCCTACTAATATATATTAAATAAAAAATAAAAGATAAAAATTTTATTTAATTTCCTAATTTTTTTATCAAAATTT